CAGAAAAAGGGGGCTGACTGGCTGGCAGCAGCAACGATTCCAATCAAATCGAATTCGTGTTTGCAGGTGCCACAGCCAAGGTGCGTCTATGAATTATCCATAAATAAAGGCGAAGGCAGTCAAATGGCAACACGACAGCCGAGCAGCTGAGCAGCAAGAACAGCCAAACGCCAAAGACTAACTCAAACACAAAGAACTTATGGCAAGTCGAAGTAAACAAGTGAGCAGGTCGATGGGCGTACTCTCTCTCCGCCCCTTCTACACAGAATTCCTCCCCTTAGGCACTCAGGCATGCTCGAGTGTTATGACCTGGTGTTACGGTAGCCTGGATAGCTGCTATAAACGTGTCAATGGTTTCCCCATCCAATAAACCACTTTGCCAGAAATTGGAAAATCGGAAAATCTTCAAATAATTAATGCCTCAATTTTGGGATGGTTTGGAAAGAGTCGATTACTCTTTATTTAAATAAAGTAATATTTTCACAGCAGTACATTTTTAAAATGAAAATGTTTTTTATGCAAGAAAGAACGTTTACAACTAATGCCTCAATTTTAGGATGGTTTAAAAAGAGTATAACATTCAATTACTTTAATTATAAAAGTTATATTAAATTCGATTAAACTTTGAACAGCAGTAAATATATATTTAATATTGAAATGGTGTTTTATTTAAGAACCAAGGCTTGTATGAAAGGTTTAAGTTTTTATAACTATTTCTTTTATTTAAATAAATAAATAAATTTGTTTGCGTCCATTTATTTATTTAAATTTGTGAGTACATTTTATTCGATTAACAAGTTGTACATTTCATCTTTTCCCTTTTTACAAAGTGCTTTCAAATAACGATTCTAATTTAAGGAAAACACATATCTGTATATAGAAGATCTTGTTTCTTGGCCTCGAGTCAAGTTGTGGCCACAATTTGTTCCTCACATCTGTGATTACTTTTCATTTTCAATATGGCACAAGTCAAAAAAAGATATATTAAATCAAATTACTTGACAACCCTGGCTGACAATGAAACAAATATTTGTCGTTGTGCTTTATTTTTGGCATTTTAATTAAAAGTTGCCCCAGTTGTCGACGAGCCAGGCGACAGTTTTTGTACTGCTGCTGCACTTGGGTTGTTCAACAACGGTTTTCAGTTTGCAGCAGAAGGCAAAAGAAAAGGCAGAAGAGCTCTTTTGGCAGCCAGAATGGCCCAGAGAGAGGGATGGCAACAGAGCGGTAGAGAGAGAGAGCGACAAACAGCGTCCCAATTTAGCCAGAATCGATGCTGGCTGGCGACAATGTAATTCATTCGCTTGGCTTTTCGGCCCTTCCACCCTTAAAACCTATACGTATGATGCAGCTACAACAGCAACAGCACGGCAGCAACATGAGTCAAAACCAGTGATGGGAAAGGTATCTCGTTTATTATCTAAGCCTATGCCAATAAATAGATTTAGTGAATTTTAAAGATAGGCGAATTCTTTAGATCCTGAAGAAGAAGTTAATACTTGATTGATTTGTGATATTAGTATTTGTTTAACTCAAAAGATAATTTCGTTTTTTTTAATCTGAAGAGAAGTTTAATACTTGGCCTATTCATAACCGATTTCGAAGGATTGCGGTTTAATTTCCTAAACAGTTAATGATCAACATCGTATGATCATCCTTTATCTATTTTTCAAACTTTAAGTTTGGTGACCCCGATTAATTATTTAATTAAAAAACTTTGTATTCTGGCATTTTAATTACTTTTACAATATTCAATAACTATTTGTATCTAGATTATTAATGCAAAATCTGTACAGATTTCTGTTGGAATTTCTTGCAGCTAGGTTGTATGTACCCAGGCAAATGAAAAACAACTTGCAACGGACTACCTAGATAGAACGCATCCCTGGCGACGACAACACGGTTTCGCTTGAGAAATGCACATCGTTTTGTGCTACCCACACCTGCAGAACGAATAGCCAGACCTACATACATTGGGCATTTTCCGTCTGTTTTCTCGACCATTTAGCCTCTCTTTCACCGATTCTTATTATGGCTATTAAGTATTTTGCTTGGCAGAAAATTCTTGAAGATTATAGCTTATTGTTATTGTTTGCCCTCCTTGGTTTTCACTTATTGCTGATGATGGCTTGCCTCTGTTTTCGTTCGCTTTGCACATTTTTCTGGTTGAGAAATTGTTACGTCACTCTGGCAGAGACATTCATTTCATTAACAGTAATTCAATTGAAAGCTCAGCGAAGACGCTCGCAAACGCAAACGCAAACAAGTAAAAATACTTGTATTTTTTCCATAATTACAAATGCAAGTAATTTGTTATGGCTGCTTTTTTTGTTTTCACACGATGACGTTCTGTGAACTTGAACGGCGTCAAAGTCGATGGATGTGTGCGATTGTAATTGCTCCTCGCTGGTTTTGTTGTTTTACTGCGGCTATACCTCAATAGCTTTCAATTGATGCAGCCAATTAACTGTGACTGCAATTACGGCCCAGTCGATAGTCTCCCAATTAAAAATTCGTTGAATATGTATGGGAATGGCACGACAAGGTCGAGGAGTTGGTGTATTAGAGATCATCAAAAACTAAACAACAGGTCTGACCCCATTAGCTGATTAATAAATGAAATTATTGGAAACCAAAGGAGGTTCTGGTTATCGTAAGATTATATGATCATTAAAAAAAAGGGGAACACACTTTTTAAAGATAGAAAAGCGGCTTATTTACCCACAAAAAGTCTTTAAGCTTCCATTAATCAACAGTATTGTTCAGAGAAGACATACAAAATTAATTTAGAAACAAAAACAAATATACGTTTTTTTTGCAGAGAGGGGAATTTTTTTGGTCATTAAAATTACTAGTCGTTATTATCGTTATTCTTTGTTAAAGTGCATAATATTCTAAAAATACATTTTATAATGCCAATTTATAAGCTCCTTTTGATGAAATCTCTAGCTAAAGAGCTTTTAAAAAAAGCTGAATAACTGGTTCTATTCCAATGTCCCACACTGTACAAGAATGTGGTTTCCATGGAATGCGCAGTATACAATGGGAAGCCCCTTTTGTCAATGCCTGGAGAAAAATGATAATAGAACACCCCGAAATAATGGAAACTCCACACGCAGTGGTTCGATTGTCAGCTTCCATATGGAAAACTTGTAATGACCACGTATTTCCAACCCCTTTTGAAATTACTACGTCGCGGTCTCTGATCCTCAAATGATTCACTCAACCAATTTTTGCGAAGCAATTTCGAAGGCTTTGAAATTTTCCTGGAACATCAAGCACTTTAGTTTACCGCCAAGTTGGCAGTTTTGCACTTCAGTTCAGTTTAGTTCGGGGGCCCCCTTAATCGACTCGACTCGAAAATGGAAATGGGGCTCGGACTCTCGGCTTATTAGCCGAGCCGAGAGAGTCTCCGGGTCGAAATCACCGCCGTAACCATTACGGCAAATAGGTTAACAGCAGTTTCGTGCCTTTTGCATGAACACGGCGTTGTGCGGATGTGTGTGTAGGCCAGTGTGTGTACTTGTTTACATAAACCTTTTCTCGTTTCGTTTTGGGTTAATTTTTCCCAGTTATTTTGTCCCCTTGCAACTGGTGCACAGAGAAAAATTGGCTCATTATCGTCCTTATATAATTAAATTAAGAAGGGTAAAACTAAAACAAATTTTCGTCGAATTTAAAAAAAAAATTGTAGTCTGGCTTTCTACTTGTTAGAGTGACCATATTTTTTGCCTATTTCACGTGTAAACGTGTTAAATTAAAATTAAATCATTTTTTGTAAGCTAAACAAAATTTCAACATTTAATTAAATTTGTTGCCTAAACTTTATAGATTTGCTTTATTAAATGATCCTAATTTTTCTCTCTGTGCACAGCACCTCCTTCTCCACCTCCACCTCCTTTTTCTGTTTCTGTTTTCTGTAGCTTTGCCAGTGGTGCAGCAACAGCAGCCGTGGCAGCAGTTTAACCCACATACAAGCTGCCCCACCAAATTGCGCAACGGGGGCGGTGGTGTAGGGGGCGTGGAAGTGGGAGTGCGAGTACGAGAGGTCGGCGGTGTGTGAATGCAAATGAAACGAAACGACAGACAAGCGGACAATTTAATGCCTATTTGCATTTAACAGCAGCTGGGGAAGAAAAAAACTAGAATCAAGTGTCGGGTTTAGGCTATGAAACGAGCAAATTGATGAGCAGATAAACGCAAAAGGGGCGGAATGTGGGGGGCGGGAAGGTGGAGATGAGCTACGACTTTGATTAGCATGCCAGATGGAGAGAGCGAGCGAGCAAGAGATATGGGAGGAAAGAGAGAGAGAGAGAGAGATCGGACAATCAGTAGTACATATTCATAGGCATTCCCCACACTCGTAAATATGCTCCAAAGCAATTTCATTCGGTTGCGCAAAATGGGAATACGTTTATTACAGTCGAACTTCTATAGCCCAAACTTCCAGCGGTCGAATTTTATATAACATAATTAAGTACCAGTCAGCACATCAAATTTATACGAAAATTAGTTTGAATCTTATAATCATGACTTCTATTGGTGGAATTTTTCTATATTTGTTATAATTTTTAATTTTTTTTTTTTAAGTTTTACAGAAAATAAATAAGGAATGAAACCTGTGCTATATAGGATTGTCAAAAAAAAATATATACAAAATATCTAAAAATTTAGTAAGCCCAGTTAAAAAGAAACAAACATTTTAAAAATATAGTGTTAATCAGCTGATGAAGCTTTTATGAACAAATACAATTTTTAAATAATCAGAAATACTTAACATGTTGCCTTTTGCAGTTTTAAATTAAGATTTTTTTCTGTAGGCTGTAGTTAAAAATATATATGCGAAAGATAAATAAAAAAATAATATTTTCTGTTATGTAGAACTGGGGAATTCTGACTATAAATCTTTCAAAAAGTAGAGAAGTACCCCTGGATAGTCCCTGCCTTATGCTAAACTATGCTTAAGCCGAGATCTTATGACTAGTTTGAAATATATTCACCTTTCTGCAAGGAGTCGTGCATTCGGCTGCAATTAATTGAGTGTGGGTATAGATAAGAACAACTATTTATGGTACTTTAAACGCTGATGTGCAGATATATATATCTCCTCGACAGGCTTACTTTTTACTCGTTATTCGTTTTGCTTTGCTTTGCTTTTCTTGTTTTTCTTATTTTTCGTTATTGGTTAATTCAATTATTCAATTATTGTTTCATTAGGAGACGCGACAGTTGTTTTTGTTGTTGTTGTGGTAGAGGATCCTGCATTTGATTAGGGGTTTTATTTAATATAGGTATTTATACTTTTTGGATGTTTTAATTGTTGTTGTGCTACTGCTTTGTTGTTGTTGTTGCTTCGGCTTTAAACAGACACACACACAGGCACACTCTTAATTTGATTATTATTTCCGCGAATTTCGAAGCCTAGCGCTAAGTTTTTTTAATATATACTTTTTTTTAATTTTTAGCGCTTGCTTACGCCTCTCCTTTGGCGCTGCTTCGTCCGCCTTTGCCTTTTTCCGTTTTTCCGTTCAGTTTTCGTGCGCGTCTTCGTCTTAGCGTGCTTTTTTTATTCTAACGCCAAGTTTGCTTTAGCAGCTGAGCGAGCGAATGGAAGTGGAAGCGAAGCGCTCTCTTTTTTCCGATTATATTATTCCACTCTGGTTATGTCGCTCTCCGTGGCTCTCTTTTGTATCTGTGTGCCACGTACACGTGCCCGTCCGATCACATTTCTTATTAGACAGAGTATCTGTGTGTGTGTTCGTGCGTGTTTTCTTTGTCCGCTTTGCGCGCATTTTCTACATTGATTTTTAAATTCGAATGCGGGAAAACTTAGCTCTCTCTCTCGCGCTGGGCTTTTCTCTCCCGTTTGGCTTATTAGGGCACTAGGTTTTTCATGCAAGCGTTGGAAAATTGCTGCACGTTCCTGCACACAACGACAACTTTTGCATTTCCTGTGCCAGAAGCAAAAAAAAAGCCTGCAAACCCATATTGCCTTGAACGAATTGAACTTCTATCGAAAATTCGCCATTCAAAATGTTTATGACATAATAATTGAGCAATGCCATATGTTTAAAAAGAGCAAAGTGTAGCGAAAGAGAGAGAAGTAAGGGGAACAGCCTTAGAATAACGAGAAAAACTCGTTGTTGAAGGCAGGCAAACGAAAAACATTTAAATAAATATATAAATTATGTATACGCGCTGTGTGCGTTGCGTTTTATCAGCGCAAGAGAGAGAGAGAGAGAGAGAGAGAGAGGGAAAGGGAAAGAGAGTTAAAGCTTCACACAGATAAAAATTGGGACAAAGTAGTGTGCGTTAGCTGCTGCTTTGACACAGTTTTATGTGACGTCGTTAATTTCGTTTTTTTGGTGTTCCCGTTCTGGTTCTCTTTCGCCTTTTCACATTCCTGCTTTCAAAGAACTTTTCGGTAACATTTAAAAAGGAAAAGGAGATAATTAAGAAAGCCCAGCACATGTTTTTCTCTTTCCAATCAGACCTGTTCCAGTTGGCTTTTTATTTTCAGGTGTTAATTGAATTTATATTTCAGTATTTGCTGCCTCCTCCTCCTCTTCTTCTTCATCTACCAGTATTTATGTAACCAGCATGAGCGAAAGAGTGAGAGGGAGATAGATAGAGAGAGCACATGCCAGGGCATAGATACTTTTTGGCATTGAAACAAAACGTAGTTCACAAAAAGCACACGCATACCAGCACACGAATACGCGCACACAGATAAACGCCACGAAAAAAAGAACTTGAAACAAGAACAACTCAAGAACGCAGCTTAGGCACACACACACATACACACACTCATTTGTACATGATTTAATTTAATTTAATTAAATTCCAGCAGTACTCTTTAGACAACGACAACAACAATAGCAGCAGTTATTCTGCGATTTTAAAGCACTGTGTTTATTTCTGTTGGTTGGTTTTTATTCGTTAATTGTTTTGAACCACTTTTGTTTAGATGCCTTGTTTTTGTTGCATTGCGTTGCAGAACTTGACAAACAAACACACAGGCAGCAACAAACATATAAACAAACTCACTGGCGACCACGATGATCTGAATCTGAATCTGACGCTCTGACTCTGTGACGTGACTGAATCCAACTGAACTGAAATGCGGATTCAAAACTTGAAAACAGCGAACTGGCTGAGATTTCTGTTTCTGTACAGAAAATTCCGATGGTCGTTAATGAGAGAGCGGGAGAGCGCGAGAGTATCTCAAAGATACAATTTCGATTTTGAGAGACAAAACTGCGCAGCGAGTCTCTCTCGCGCTCTCTGGCTCTCCCGCTCCCCAAACAACCACTTTACACTCAATTTGGATTCTGGATTTCCATTTCCATTGTGCATTTTCCAACCGCCTCTCCCCTGTTCCATCTTGTTTCTCTCCTCTCTTTCTGCGCTTCTCTGTAGGTCATTCTGGCAATAACAGTACCGCACTGGAGCTGATAAGATTGCACTTTGTTTTTTCAACCACTAAAACTATAACTCATGATTAGTACTTTAATTAATTTGATTCATTTGCTTGCAAAACAACATAGATTTCATAATCAAAATTAACAAAAAGACCCATTCAATATAGTTTTTTTTCTCGCTGTTACACTGATCAGTTAAGGCTCAACAGGAGACACTCTAAGGACAATTGGAAAATAAAATATTTTATAAGTGATCCAATTTGATTATTTTAAATTTGAATAAAAAAGCAAATATTTCAAAACTGCATATGTTTGTAATAAAATGCTTGAAAAACTTGATTTGCAGTTTGAATACTTTTAACCTTACGTTAATAATCTCATCCTGATTAAACTAAAATTGAATCACCATAATATGTTAGGCTCCCTATCAAAAAGTGTACGTGCGCGTCCCCGTAACCAAAAAATCAATTTTATTTTGATTTTTTAAAGTATAGAATAGCAGTTTCTAAAATGAGACTCAATTTATTCAATTCGTTACAAAACAAACGTCGAGATTAATATCATTGACTTTGCAGTTGCGTCATTATCACTAAGCCTACATTACAGTAAAACGTTTATAGTTACTAGTTACGATTCATGATTTTTTGGAAATATCCCGGGCGGGATATTGAAGACAGACATGTATTGCTTGCTGTGGGATTGGAGGGATTATCACAAAAAAACGTAAAAACCTAGGCGAAACAAAGTAAAATGTGTAGTTTACAAAGGGGGTGCAAAAACACACCGCTGCGTCATAGGATCGAATTTCCAAACACTCCAGTGTGGAAGCTTAAATAAATAAATGTTGCGTAGTACGGAGTACGCATTGTCTTGCGGTGCAGTCAGTGCTTTTGCTTGAACATTAAACGAAGATTGCCTGTATTGCAGTGAAGTTAGCTTCCGAGATTCATAGGTTGTTTTCCGTGTGTCTAAGATCCTTTTGGAGGACACGTGGCGATCAGCTTGTGTGGCTGCTCACATAAGCGACGGTTTCCATGGGGCACACCTCCGGCGCCACCATGGACTCAAACTGCTCCAGGTTCTGCAGGAATGTCAGGGTAGTTTGCTCACATCGTGTCGCATTCGGAAGTATATGGCAAACATTTAACTGGGGAATTGAAACAAAAGAGGAATCAATATTGGGAAAAACTTATTTGAATGTTTTTTTTTAACATTTTGCTCTTGTTTCATTAAATGCTTAGGAATTCGTGTATTTCAAATAAATATAATGCATTACGTTACCCTTCAGAGTTTATGTTAATACAGAATAAGATAATTTCTACGAATTTAATAATAAAGAAAGCTATTTTTATATTTATGAGCAAGTAACAAATTGAGATTCCGAAATCATCACTAGAAGCTTCTAAGGGCATTATTTGTGGCTATTTTTTCTTGAAGTTTCCTTCCTTTTTTGTTGTTATATAACTTAAGTTCAGTTCAAGTGTAAGTCCATAGAGGTGTTTCTTATAAACTCACCTTCTTTGCCTGCTCCTCTGCTTGGCCGCATTGCATTATATTGGTGCGATGCACGACATAGCCCACACGCTGCGTCTTGGCCGAGCTCTTGGTCAAGCGTCGCATCACGGACACATCCAGATCCTCACGAGCTGAGACATGTTCGCCGCCAAACTGACCCTGTGCTCCAATCCACTCATTTTCAGCGAATATAAACTTGTCCAGCGGATCTAGCAGCGATTGTGAGGCCTTGTGGGCGGCCCTTGTCAAGTAACCAGCCGGATCCACCTCCGAGGGTCGAGCACAACTGTTGATCTTCTCCAGCAACAGGCGATAGATGAGCAGCACCGGCTTGTTGTCCAAAACACCTTGTCCCAGGCCACGTTCATCATCACTGGCCAGGCGTCGATCCTGCATGATCTCCAGCTCCCCGGAGGACAGGGAAGATCCACCCAGAGGTTGACCCGTGAGCAATGAAAGTCTCATATTGGCATCCTCAATAAACATGCCAGAGGGAACTGGATAGTAGTTGGCTTGCAAGGGTAGCTTCTCCAAACGGCGCCTCTTAATGATCTGCAGTCCATTGAGATCCGTGTAGAATATGTCGCCACTGTCGATATGCGTCTCCAAACGCATCACGATCTCCGTGTTATCCAGCACGCCGATGTCCACCAAATTGCGAATCTCAGGGGCTCCGCCCCGCAATATGGTCTGATGCACCACACTCGGCAGACCCACGCTCACCGATGACTCCAGTTTGCCCTTGGTCACCAGGACCACGGGATGGTTGAGCTGCATAGGCGAAGCAGGTCCATTGGGCAGGAACAGATAGGCTCCGGATCGATCTCCATGCGTCCTAGTGCCATACTTAAGGAACTTCAAGTGCACCGGCACAGGCGGACTGTCCTGTGCGAGCTGAATGGATTTGAGCAGACCCTGCTCCGAAAATGCCAGGGTTGGACCATTGCCCACGCGCAACGAGATCTCCCTGGGCTCGCCAAACTTCACATCCTCCGGATATTGACCCAAAGGCACGGAGACCGGATTGGTTCGCAGCAAAAGGTTCGAGGCGTACGAGGTGTGTCTGTAAATGTGATTGAAATGTTAGTTTTGAAAAGAAATAAAAACCATAATCACCAGATTTTCGCTTTTATAAGAAAACCATTTAAAAAACATAAAAAATAATTGTTTCATTTATGTCAGCGATTGTAGTCAACGTAAGTTGTTTCAAAATCAGTTTTTATAAATAAAACCTCATTATTTCAAAGTAACATTTTTTTTTGGCCACAGGACTTTTTTTTTGCTTATTAAAGAATGTTATAAAATCTTTAAATTTCAAAATCTGTTTGGAAATATATAGATTTGCCGAATTTCTTTTATTGTATGTCGATTTAAGCTAATTGATTTTTCGATTTAAAAAACACATTTACAATCATTGTTGCTAGTCCCTGATTTATGTCAATACACCAAAAAGCAATTTGATGGTACATGAAATGTATTTTACAGTGACAGCTGCATGTTATATTAATATATGAATTTGTTAAAAAACGAAACATTCAAAAAGAAACGTTCAAATAACATACGACAAAATTATATATTCGTTAAGGGACCATTATTGTTGATATATAATTAAGAGTGTTTAGTTTAATATTGTCACAAGTCAAGTATACGTATAAGGTAAACGGAACTAGATATGTTAATCCCTAAAATTAATGTCGACTCACTCTGGTTTGGACTCGGAGATGGTCAGAACGTAGGTGGCCAGTCCCATGGGCGGCACGCGAGCCTTGAAGATGATGCGATACTTGGTGGTGGAGCCTTGTGGGTGGATGGTCTTGGTGAGGGTGTCGTGGTGCCAGCTCCACACGGGCGAGACCTGAGCCTCCACTGGGTTGTGGGCCAGATCGCTGACACTGACGAAGGGACTGGACACATAGAAGTCCACCAGCTGCTCCCGCCAATGGGGCAGGGTATTGTGCATCACCACATGCTTGGTGGGCAGTACATCCGCGCCCAAGATAATGGTGGTGCGACTGTCCTCCACGCCTGATCCCGGCCAGCGCGAATCGTCCAGCGTAAAGTAGGAAAAGCTAAAGTCTGGACTGTAGATGGAGGGCTTGGTTAGCAGGCGGTATACGGACTGCTGCATCACCATTTGGCAGGCCTTTAGAGCTTCCTGCATGCGTTGCTCGTAGTCCAACATCACATGCGTTTTGGCTGTGCCAGTGATGCCATCGTGATGCTGAAAGAGGGACAGCTCCCGGCGAGCCAGCTCCAGGCGCTCCTCGATGCCCGCCATTCCGTCCCAGGAGTGCCAGGCGGAGAGCATCTCCGCCGAGCGGACATAGTGCATCAGGACACGATCCATGCGCTTGTGATACGGCCGTGATGTGAAATAGCCACTCCAGTAGTTATCCGAACGATCGGCGTAGGTGAAGAAGTCACCGCTCAGCGTGGGAAACTCAACCTGTCCGGCACGCTCCGCCTGATGCACTGCATCGAAGTACTCCTGCAGCGTGCCAAACTGAGCCTGCACATTGAAGTGCGCCTGGCTGTTGATGTGCTCGAACAGCTTCTCGTAGTTCACCCGCTGCACATCCCACTCGGTGTTCTGCTTGAAGCGGAAGTCATCGCCCAAGGGAATCAGCAGGACGTTCGATCGATACAGCTCAGCCTTCTTCTTCCACTGATCCACCAGCAGTTCCGATTTCGCTGCCACATTCCCCTCCACAATGGCTCGCGGTGGCGTCTTCCACGGGCAACTCAATCCGAAGGCGCCCATTCGCTTGAAGTCGAACTGGCAGCAAACCTTGGGATCCGGGCCACAGGTGTGGGGTATGTCGTACGAGTAGAAGGGCATCATGTGGGTGAAAAGCGAGGTCTCTCCCTTGGTGTCCCAGATCTGGCGCCAGTGGAACTCCAGGTTGCGCTGTTGGGCCAGCTCCTTCTTCACCGAGTAGTGAGTGCGCTGGATTAGTAGATCCTTAAATCCACTCTTTTGCAGAATGTACGGAATTGTGGGACTGTACCCGAAGGGATCGATGGCCCACGAGGCGGTGGGTGTGACATTCAGGTGCTGCTTTAGCCACGTTTGGCCTACAGTCAGCTGCAGCAACACACTACGCCAGTGAGCATTCGCCTCATCCGTCATCACCCATCCTCCAGTCACAAATTCCAGCTGTCCACTCTTTACAATGCTGAAAAGGTTATGGTTTAACTTTATAACTTATTGGTCATAACAATATGGGAGATAAATATCAAATTATACTACTAAATATCAATTATACAAAAATGTTTTGGAATTAATCTTTATAGAAGGTTATAACCAAATCCTTAAGTAGCCCAAGGGATCCTGAGAAATATTATTTATTTCTGAGTTCCATAGTTCATAGTTTTTCAGCCGGAATAAATTTACTTTAAATTTTATACAAAATAGGCAAAATTATTTACGTCTGAACTTTTTTACTGCACTGTGTTATAAGTTAGAATGTGCAAATAAGTACTAAGCTAATTTGTAATGAGATAACACTGTTTAAATAACTTAACAAACAGCACATGTGCTATCATCACATTGTATTTAGCTAAACGATTTTTAAGTATGCAGATACATTGTAAAACATATGTTGTTGTTGTAAAATCAGCTGTTTAAGGCTTAAACAAAGCCGAAGCGAAATGTTAATTGTTTTAAGGATAATATACATTTTATCAAACGTTAATCAAGCAAACAAATGGTTATAAAATGTTGTTCCGAAAAACAAAGGGGCAGTAACATGGCATATTAACAGGCATTTCATTTAAGAGTACATCAATAATCTTTTCATCAATAAACAACTATGCTGTATACTCTAGGGGCGGATCTAGACAATTTGGATTTAGTCATACAAATTTGTGCACTATGAAATTATTATGATTATGTTACAGCCGAATGCTTACGATTTCATCTGCAGTTTCTTGTTTTCCCCCAGATCTTGGTAGAATCGGGCAAAGTACGAGGTCTCCGCCCAGATGAACTTCATCTCTGGGTTCTCGTGCAGGTGCCGCAGGGCATTGGACAGGATGTGCTTGGTGTCGTGCTGGTAGTAGTCCTCGAAGGTCTGGATCCAGCCGGGATCGTTGTGCGAGTGGGGCACCACGAATACCTTGAGTTTGTGGTGGGCATTGTATTTTAGAGGATCGTACTTGATGTTCCAGCCCTGTTTCCACACCCCGCCATCGATGTCCTTGAAGGACATGCGATCGTATAGCTCCAGCATCTGTATATCCACACTGGGCACATCCTGGACCACATCCTGGCACTCCTTTGCTCCTGATCCTGGGGAGCGGGGCACTTTGAGTGGTGTCTTAAGGGGCTGCTCCACCGTTTTCTTGTCCAATCGAGCCCGCATGTTCCGCATCTCCTCGCCATGCTCCTGCAGTCCATTTTCCAACCGAATCAGCTTATCCTCAATGGCCACATAGTTGGGCTTAGAAAAGAACACCCGGTAAGGAGTGTTATTATTCACATGGCATTGATTTACCCATTTTATTTACCTTTTTCTGGTTGCCTGCCGGCGCCGCAAAGTTGAGAATCACATAGAGGCTGAGGAAAACCAGCAGGAAGCCCGAGCAAATCACCAAGGCAAAGCGTCGACGTATGCGCAACATTTTCCGGCTAATTATTCATGGAAACGTCGACGTTACAAGCCTACTGCAGCAATCAAATCGCTTGACTTGCGTGGTTTTTTCGCATAAATAAAAAAAATAGTGTGGCCGTTTGACGATTTGTATACAGTATTTGAGGCGCTGCCAGCATGGCTGATATTTTCTACTGTTTAAAAGATACTGTTAAGTATTCCTTACATTCTGTTAATAATACAAATTTCACGAGCCATTTGAACTTTTACAGGATATGTGGGTGCTCCTGAGTAAAATTCCCAAACAAACTTAAGTTACATATTCTACAGGTTCTGTGGTTAAACTTAGTATAGAAAAATCCAATGTTTGGCCAAATTTTTATTTATGATTTTAACTTTATAACACTCATAAACTATGATTCATAATACAACATCGCCTCTAAATTTAAACAATTTCTACGAACCTCAACTGAATCTTAAAAATATATTTTTAATAAAAACAAATTTTAATTTCTCTTGTAAACTGTGCTCTGTTCGTTTTAATTTTGGTTTAAAGACGATTCATAAGGATATTTTTTTGGATTTCTTATAACATTAAATGCACAATTTTTGGTTGTTATCTACTGCATTTTTCCCCAGTTTTAAAATAGTCATGGCAAACTTGAATTTTACTATAAATATATTAGCTATCTTTTCAATAACATTTCTATACCTTCAAAAAAGCTCAATAATACAACCTGGTGGCAACGCCGTTAACCTCTGTTGCTTCTGCAGTACTGCAATAACGGTAATATTATCATCTAAAAGAAGATTAAAACGAATTTAAGCCGATGGCAGTTGATCTAAAGCTTTTAAAATGGTTTCTACATTAAATTAGTTAGTGAACTGGATTAAAGCACTTGCTGTTGCGCCGCTTTAAGCGGACACTCACAATTTATTTTGGATGCTGTGTGTTTGTTTTCCTGACCATTATTGATTTTGTCAGACGCAGCATCTTTAAACACAGAAAAAGGCGCCTAAAAGGTGTTCTGATTCCTAACCAGCTAGATAATATTTGAGTACTGAAGAATTAACTACAGTTGAGTCTCGGCATAATGAAACGCCAGAATGTTCGAACCCTTTCCCTTGTGGTGTGCACATTTACGTACCTTTTAATTGGCGCCGCGGTCTTCGATTCACTGGAGTCCCCAACGGAGGCCAAACGATGGGAGTTTTTACAGGGTATTTTACGAATCGATTATTATCCCGTACCTGTCTCATCTGTTGTTCTATTCCAGCCGTTAAAAACAACTTTGTAAAGAAGTACAATGTAACAGACGAGGATTTCCGAGTGATGGAAATTGTCATTATTGAAAACAAACCACACAAGGCAGGACCCCAGTGGAAATTCGCTGGTGCCTTTTATTTTAGCACTGTCGTTCTGGCCATGATAGGTAATTTAACTTTTTGTTTTATTATCATCATTATCATTGAATTTATTTATATCCTCGGATCATGTTATATCCTGTAATGCTCTTATTAATTTCAGGATATGGCCACTCCACACCTGTTACCATTCCGGGAAAAGCATTTTGTATGGGCTATGCAATGGTAAGTTAATCGCATTATCCTTAATTTTAATCTTATAAATATTTCCTCCTTCAGGTAGGTATTCCTCTGGGCCTGGTGATGTTCCAGTCGATCGGTGAACGATTGAACAAGTTCGCCTCAGTTATCATAAGGCGGGCGAAAAGGGCCAGTGGAGCTCGGTGTACGGATGCCACCGAAATGAATCTTATGCTGGCCACTGGAATGCTCTCCTCCATTATTATTACCACGGGAGCAGCAGTGTTCTCCCGATATGAGGGCTGGAGCTACTTCGACAGCTTCTACTACTGCTTTGTCACCTTGACCACAATTGGTTTTGGCGACTATGTGGCCTTGCAGAACGATCAGGCACTTACCAATAAACCAGGCTATGTGGCATTAAGCTTGGTCTTCATCCTGTTCGGATTGGCAGTGGTAGCTGCCAGTATTAATCTGTTGGTGCTGCGTTTCATGACCATGTGAGTTGTTATGTTATGGTTGAAAATGTTCAGTTTAATGGGTTTCGTATCGAGACTGCAAGTAATGATTTGACATGTGTACGATATTTTAACGATATTTTTGAATAGGCTTATAAAACGAATTCTGTTATACCACAACTGAACAAAAACCCATATTTTAAATATTGTTTATTATTATACAAAAAATTATTTTTAGAGTTGTTTAACAGGTCTATCCAAAATTGTCGTCAAAAATTTGCAGCAGTTCAAAAAATTAGTTTAATTTATTATACAAAATTAAATTTTCTGATATTTTTTTATAAATAATCATCTCTCTTCATCACTGTTAGAAAAATTAAAGAATAACCATTATCTTGTAAAGTGTAAAACAAGCCTTATAATGACAACGCTTCCTTTTTTTGTACAACAGGCAGGCGGAGGATGCGAAGCGGGATGAACAGGATGCCCAGAACCTGGCCGGAAATGCCCAGCCAGTCACCTTCGATGATGAATCCACCTACAATATGCATGGCAAGCTGTTGGAAAACAACTACACCACTGAGAATGATGAGACCGCTTCGTTGTGCTCCTGCACTTGCATGGGTGGCACTAGGTGTCTCAACCACGAGCAGTTCGTGGATCCGGATTTTGCGCCTACGGATATCATTGAGAGCACTTTGTGCCTGAAAAGAGCCTCCGTCTGATATCCGTATAGCCAGCTGTGGGACTCCTCCATTTAGGAGGGTTCTCCAGGGCCAAAGGATCGCCAAATTATAGTTACAATCCTGTAGAGCCTCAACCGCCGCCAATCACAAAAAACATTGGTTGTTAGACGAACCTTCCCTACGTAGATATTTACACAAGGATGGGTCGATTATTCTTGCGAAGAATTGTTAAAGCTTAAAGAATTCTATAACAAGTTTAACATATTCACTGGAATTATAGAAACTTTTTTTTTTGCAAGCAACATTTTATATTTAGATGAACATGAACATTTATAGATTTTCGGATATTTTAAATTTAAGAAATTCCGCAAATTCACGTAAATTCTAATTCTCGACCAAAAAAAAAATGTCTTCAATATTTGGCAAGCAAATTGAGTTATTGTTATTTTATTGTATTTAAAATGTTTGTATTCAACTTTTTTCGCCACATAATTTTTGACCTTTTTGCAAGCACCATAGTCGACTCATCCCAATATACACATATACAAAGGAGGAACCTCCAAAATGCCCATGTCAATATCAATCGTATCACCTGGCTGGTGACCTTCGAGGTGACCTCTATTGGTTCGAAGGCCCCATCACGAATTTTAGCTGTATATTGGTTTAACTAAGTACTATTAAAGTTTTTGCTCAAAATCCTTAAGCTGAATGACTTGAATTTTTGGAAAGAGCAAATGGGCTATAAATCTGGGATCAAAGTAGTCCGGCTGACAACCTTCCGAGACGTACTCCTATCCAGAGTCAGTCCACCTCAGTATCTGCTAGCAAGTACACGTGTATAAAATATAAACCTGAAAAAATTATACGTTAAATATTCAGTTGTTTGTCGGTTTTTGCCCCCCTCAGACTGCTACTCGAACTCGGTTTTTTTTATCATCATATTTTTGTTGGTAAAAAAGTTTCCAAAATTTGGAAATCATTTGATCCTTGACAGCGGCTCGAAATGCGTGAAATCGTGCACATCCAGGCCGGGCAATGCGGTAACCAGATCGGTGGCAAATTCTGGGAGGTCATCTCCGACGAGCATTGCATAGACGCCACTGGAACATATTACGGCGATAGTGATCTGCAGCTGGAGCGCATTAATGTCTACTACAATGAGGCCACCGGTGCCAAATATGTTCCTCGGGCCATTCTCGTGGACCTCGAGCCCGGCACCATGGACTCGGTTCGATCCGGTGCCTTTGGCCAGATCTTCCGACCGGACAACTTTGTGTTTGGTCAGTCTGGTGCCGGCAACAACTGGGCCAAAGGTCACTACACTGAGGGTGCCGAGCTAGTGGACTCGGTCCTGGATGTGGTGCGAAAGGAGTCGGAGGGCTGCGATTGCCTGCAGGTAAGTTATGGGTTAATTGTATGAAGTGGTTGTACACGGTGCAGCGGTAACATGCGATTTCCCAACAGGCCGCTTCTTCGTTTACAATAGAGTGTAAATGTAAATTATCCCTAAAAAGATCTACATTTTTAAAGAAATGAGGTGGTTGTACACTATGCTGCGGTATTATTAAAGCTGGCAAAAAACGATGTAATCTTGTATTTTTAGCAATTACAACCTATGTATATTTATTTTTTCCAGGGCTTCCAGCTGACCCACTCGCTGGGTGGCGGCACCGGGTCCGGCATGGGCACCCTGCTGATCTCCAAGATCCGTGAGGAGTACCCCGACCGCATCATGAACACCTTCTCGGTGGTGCCCTCGCCCAAGGTATCCGATACGGTGGTGGAACCCTACAATGCCACCTTGAGTGTCCACCAGTTGGTGGAGAACACCGATGAGACGTACTGCATCGATAATGAGGCGTTGTATGACATCTGTTTCCGGACTCTGAAGCTGACGACACCCACCTATGGTGACCTCAATCATTTGGTCTCGGCCACCATGTCTGGAGTGACCACATGCCTTCGATTCCCCGGCCAGCTGAACGCTGATCTTCGCAAGCTGGCGGTGAACATGGTGCCCTTTCCCCGGCTGCACTTCTTCATGCCTGGATTCGCTCCACTCACCTCCCGCGGATCGCAGCAATACCGAGCCTTGACCGTTCCGGAGTTGACCCAACAGATGTTCGATGCCAAGAACATGATGGCCGCCTGTGATCCGCGACATGGTCGCTACTTGACCGTGGCTGCCATTTTCCGTGGCCGGATGTCCATGAAGGAGGTGGACGAGCAGATGCTGAATATCCAGAACAAGAACAGCAGCTTCTTTGTCGAATGGATCCCGAACAACTGCAAGACGGCGGTGTGCGATATTCCACCGCGGGGTCTCAAGATGTCGGCTACTTTCATCGGGAACTCAACGGCCATTCAGGAGCTCTTCAAGCGCGTTTCGGAGCAATTCACTGCCATGTTCCGCAGGAAGGCTTTCCTCCATTGGTACACCGGCGAGGGAATGGACGAGATGGAGTTCACCGAGGCGGAGAGCAACATGAATGATCTGGTGTCGGAGTACCAACAGTACCAGGAGGCCACCGCCGACGAGGAGGGCGAATTCGATGAGGACGAAGAGGGCGGAGGCGATGAATAAGAGAACGAATTAGGCTGCTGCGACGAACAAGAAGCCTCTTGCACTACACAGTCACCACTCGCCAGCGTACACCAATCAACACAACCAAAACAAAAACTACCGTCCCAAAAGGAGCTAGCGGATGACCACTGATGGAACCTAAAATCGAGCACAATTCCACACTGTTCCTTCGGATAACACACATGTTGAGAAAGCTTATTCCAATCGATTGTTCATATTTCCCTTCTGGATTTTTGTGGGATAATCACACTTCACACACCCACACACCCACACACCGAGACTTTCCCTCTTCTTTGGTTGCACTTGCTGTGAATTCTAGGTTATCAAACAATATATATATTGATTTAAAAATATTAAAAAAAATTTTGATAATGCAAATAATGGATTTCAGGAATTTATTTTAAAATGACGGGTATCGTATTTTTAACCTCAAAAATATTCACTATCTCCACGAGGTTTACCTAAAAAAAGGCAAGGAATAATGCCATTTTGGTGTATCCTGTTCAATTTAGGCCCCCAAATACAAAATAAAATAAGTAAACTTAAAATACCACATTGCGTATTAAAATAAAATATTACAATATTCCATTTAAAAGAAAGTTTAATATGTAATTAATATTATTGTTTAAACATAACAAAGTTTTAAATCTATTTCAAAACTAGTCATGTTAAAGAAAGAATGTAAATGCATGTACCTAAAATCCGCAATGTATGAAAATCAAGTATTAATTAATTGGCTTTACTATTTTTTGAACTTAAATACGGCTAGTAAATTCTAATTGTAAATTTAAAAATTTCAGGGTTAACTAGCTTTGGAAGGAAAATTGTAGTGTTGAATGTCAAATAAATAATTTTTCTTGGATGGCAATCCTTTTCAAGGTAAGGTTACCTTATGCACTGTCATCCAAGAATTTAATTGTGCTAGTCACTTCGAATCAAGTATAGGCAACAAGATGCATTCGCCCAAGACTCCGTTGACTTCCCGCTGTGGCTATCTGCGCGGTCGCAAACGCATAAATCCGCATCCCATATCGCTGCTGCAGAAGCGACCGAAAATCGAAGACAAAGTCGATCCAGAGGAGAGCAAGTGCTCATCAAAGCCGGACACCTCGACGGATGCGGAATCCCCGTTGACTGCCGAGGATAGTGGCATCGATGTTAGCCAGGAAATCGGCCAGAAAAGGAAACGCTACGCCAGACGCAGTCAGAAGCAGAATCCTTTCTAGTGGTTTATTCAATCGAAAGGTGTTTACATAGGTGTGTAAAGGAACAGCAGCAGCAGCAGTGGCAGCGGAAAACACTTAAGCACGAAACGAAATATACATATACTACGGAACATTGCAGACGCTGAGATACTCGGTTACGAATTGAAATAAAGAGATATCTTTTTTAGCCTAGACATCGTCGAAGAGTCCTCGGGGTGGGGGGCCCACAATGCGGCCATCGGTCTGCTCCGCCTCGTAGTCGGGATCCCGGAAGCCCACCTGGACCTGGGTGCTCACCCCGAACCGGTCGTTGATCTCCTCGGAAAGGGAACGTGGAACGCCTAGGGCCGAGGAGGAGGCCACCGCCGCATAGTCAAAGCTCCCATCGCCATCGCGAAGCAGCCCATCCGCTGGCGTTCGACTGCTGGCCAGGGCACCACCTGCTCCTCCTCCTCCGCCTCCTCCACTTCGGTACTTGCTCAAGTAATCGCTGCCGAGTGCCTGGTCGGGTCGGTTGAAGTCCCGCCGCCTGGCCATCGCCTCCTCCGCTCGCTGGCGTCGCCGTTTCTCGCGGGCTATCAAGTCCTTGCCCTCCTGCACCAGCTCAGTGGCTATCGTCTCGTTCTGCAGGAACTGCTGGAAACCAAGGGCATTCAAGGCCCTGCTGCCCAGGCTAAACCAGGTGGCCAGGCAGAAGGCCAGCATGCACATGGGGAAGTAAATGTTAAAGCCGTTCGAGATGATGCCAATGACGTCCATGTGGCCCATGATCTGGGTGTAGACCGTCTCCATGATGCGCTGTAGATATAGAAAATTAGGCAATGAGTTTTGGTAGTTTTTTAAAATGAAAGAAAGCTAACTTTGGCTAGTCGAAGAATAGGTATATAAACTTTATAGAGTCTGAAATGTCTCCTTCACTGCTTTGCAAAATGTTCACTGAAATTATCCCACCCTCTGCAAGTTTCATACTCACATTGGGAATAATGTGTGTGTCCATGTGGATCAGGCCCAGGAAGTTGAGGCACATGGGCGGCGTCAGCCGACAGAGCAGCATGCCACTGAAGATCAGGCTGTGCTCGTTGGTCTGGTGGTGCGGTGCCAGATAGTAAAGATTGAGGAAACGAATCCTCAGGATCGTCGAATAAGTACAGTAGAAAAAGTAGCAGAGAACCACCATGGAAAAGACCTCGATGGTGAAGAAGTCGTAGCTCTCCTTGGCCACGTAGATCACATTGGCGAATATGGAGAGCACGGGGTGGCGGCTGAAGAAGGTGAGCTCACTCCACACCACCATGGCCGACATGGTGGCCGTGAGGATGCACATGGTCTTGAGGAAGGGCGCCCGTAGCAGGCACTCCCAGTACCACTGCACCGAGGCACTGTAGCACATCCTCTCCAGCTGCGTTCGCTGCCGCGGGAATTCCGATTTGAAGCGCCGCTCCGAGGAGTGAATGTTCCTGGCCACATCCTCCAGGTGCAGCACCGTCTGCACCTGCACGCTCCACAGCGCCTCGGTGCGTTGCAGCGTCTGCAGGGATTTGATTACTTGCTTGTGAATGCGAACCAGCGCCTTTTCCGATGGCAAGATTGTGGAGCTGGTTGCCCCCATTCCGCTGCCTCCGGTGCGGGCAAAGTTTCGGCTAGCCCGCTCCTGCAGCTCGATGGGCACCTTCCGCATGATGGTCTCCAGGCAAGGGCGCAGCTCGTGGTTGTTCGGTATGACGCGACTGAGGCCTTGCAGCGACTCCAGAATGTCGTCCACATGCTCCTCGGCCTCCGCCTTCTCAGTGCTCAGTTTGGCCGCCTTGAAGTAGGCGTATTGCAGCGCGAATCCCGGTTTGGCATTGTTCCACAGCGAGCGGGGAACCTCCACCAGAGCGTAGCCCAGTAGCAGGATGAGCAGAAACAGGCCCCAGGTGTTTGAAGCCGATGAGGCGATGGCCTTCAGCTTCTGCCAGTCCAGCGACTCGCCTTTCACGGCTATGTAGATCAGGAGTACGCCGCAGATGAACAGGTAAGAGCCATAGTAAATGGCATTCTCGATCAGGGCCGACTTCAGCTTGCCCTTGACGGTGAAGTCGCCCGCCTTGAGGTACGACTGCATCAGCGGCATGATCAACCAGGTGAGGAACTGCGAGCTCCAGTAGATGATGCGCCACAGGTTGGGGAACACGGAGGCGGGCACCATGCCCCACGGCTCCTGGCATTGAGGGGGCGGCGAAGGGGTCACGTTGGCGGCCGTAGTGGCGTTCAAAGTTGGGGCCGGAGTTGGTCGGTGCTCCTCCACACATTGGCGGTAAAGTGTCTGTGAAAGAAATACAAGCTGAGTTCTATATTCCGTTTTTACTTAAAATATGAGATTGTAAAACTGATAACCAAATAAGAAAAACTATTCCCAAATACCAAATACCAGAACGATAGTTAAATAAAACGATGAAAACTCTAATTTTATGACTTATCTCTAGGCATGATTCATTCAAAGATAAGATGTTCCAAGCACAAATCAGTGGCAAACTTTATTGACAAAGTTTAAGGTGTCAGGAAAGCTTAAGATAAAATATTAATTAATTTCTGTTCTCACTTTGGCACAAAAGAATTTGTTTAGAAGAAATTTACTAATTGTATTGGTGCTTGAATAATTATAAAACAGACTTTAATAAATATTTTTGTTATGGAAATATGTGTCAATATCAAAATATATCACCTTAGTGATTTTCCCTTTTAAAAACCATAAACGGGATCGGACGTCATAGTTGTAATATTACTATAGCAACGATCTACTTCAAAGATTTTCCGATTTTAATTAAATAAAGGCTTAGGGCGATAGTTTAAATTGTCAATCAAACAGGATGACTATTCCTATCGTTATCAAAAAATTATATTTAAAATTACAGTATACGTAAGTTTTAAGTAAGTTTTTTTTACTTAATAAAGTTTGAGGACAATATATATTTCTATCTATATAATCATCTATTCTAACCTAACCAAATCACTGTATATAAGATTACAGCATATGGGGAGAAAGTTTGAACGATATCTAATATCAGTTCCCTTTAAATCGTAATTCGCTTACTAAATGAATTGATCTATGTCTTTTCCTGACACTTATTTTGGGTTCAACCCTTCGGTTTCAAGAGCTCTAACTATCCTATCCATATTGCAGTAGGTCTGTACATATCTTAAATATTCATTATATTAGAGTTTTTGAATCGAAATTTGCTCATTTAATGATTTAATCTAAGGTTTCTAGGGCTCCATATGCCCACTCACCGATGTGACGTCCAGCGGAATGGTGAAGACAATCAGGAAGGAGAAGCACCAGGCGGTCAGCACGGACAAGGTGACCAGGATGTGCTGACGTGGTATGTTGCCATAGCGGTACAGTGAGATGCTGGCCAGGAATAGGGCGGCCACGATGCCGAAGGTGAGTAGGTAGGCCATCCTTCCTAGCCCTGATTTAGGTTCTTGTGCTTATTAGTGCTTGTGTGATGTGCTTATGACGACTGTGGTTCGCAAAACAAACAGGACGACTAATTCATGGGCTCCGAGGACTTCCTCTGCAATCGCTTCTTCTGCAATTGGCGAGCGGTATCCCGATGCATTTCCTCCAGACGTTCCAGCGCCTGCGTCTTCAGGGGCATCAGATGTGGCCGGCAGAAGACCAGTTCCGTTTTGTGCTCGAAAAACAATTTTCCGGTCGTGGGCTCAATCAGATCGATTTTCTGCAGCACATCCGCCTCCACAGCGGACATCCTTTTGGCGCTCCACACACGGGCGGAACAGGGCGGGGGCGTGGCCGGGGGGTGTTAGGGGGTTGGCAGCAGCGTACTCTTCGTATTGCCGGCCTTAGGTATGATGCTTTCTTTGCCGCTTCACGTATTTATTTGTTTTTTTTTTCAATCAATCGCCTTTAACGAAATAGTGTGCTCGATTGAGTGGGTGGGCCAAGAAACAGTATTTCATGGGGGTGTTGTAAGCATTTTGTCGGTTGCACGCTCTGGTCACATTGAATGAGGACACCCTCTTGGAAATTTAATGGTTTTTACAGATTTTAAAAAGCCGGGAGCAAAAAAAAAACAATCAATTGAAAGTCCTTACAGCTTGAGTAAAATAATATTAATATAGGTATACTATAGTCTAATATAATAGATTATTTTACTCAATCTTTTCAGTCTCGTTCAATACTTGCATTTTCCTTTGTCATTTATCTTACCGTAAAGTCTTTCAAATACTTTATTTCTTTTTCAAAGATGTTTTAAGAGGACAGCATAATAGTTTAGGGAACTAAAATGATCCTTCTCCTTGTAAGAGCTTAAAATCTTTTTTTAGACAAATTAAAATTGAAATATTTTATATTCATTTTGAAAAACAGGTGACTGAAAACTTTGATAAGACAACAATATTTGGATTTATTTAATAATTTAGGTAAATAAAAGCTTAGATAATTTAATTAGCTAGCGTTTAAAGTACCTTAAATTAGTACCAAGGTACAAATATCTAGGTATTGATCAACACTGCAAACGTCATAGCACTCCTTTTCATACCTTGCCAGCGAGTTGGCAGCCCTTGGCCATTGTTTTTGTTTTGCTGGCACAGCCAGAGAAATTATTGAATTTAGAAAACATAGTTTGGCCTGGCCTAGAGTCTAGAAATGGAAGCGGATAGTACGGAACCAAAGGCAGCCAAGTCGCCGGACTGTCGCACCAGCGGCGATGGCATGGAGCAACCGGAAAATAGTGGCACAGCCAAAACAGAGGGTGATGAAGTTCAGGCTATTGCTGATGTGGACATCAAGGTGAAGAGGCCCCAGTTGTCGCGAAAGGATAGCACCATAATCCAGGAGGCTGTCATGGGCAGGAAGACATCCACATCGGCCTCCAATTTGCCTCTTCCCGGACTGCACACACTTTACAGACGACCGGAGATTGTGACCCGTAGTTTGGCACCCGCAATGCCCAAGGGAGAGTTGGTCCAAATGCGACCACGTTTGGTCACCAGCAGCACGGAATCCCTGCCCGAGCACAAGAAGACCAAGGCCCCCAAGTTTGTGCCCTTTGAACCCTATCCGGGTGCCGTGAATCCAATGATTTCCGAGCCCACGAACAAACACAAAATCCATCGAAACAAGAACAACCTGGACATTGCAGTACTGGTGGATCAAGTGTCCACGCTGCGTACCCAGGAGCTGGACACCGAACACAGGGATGTTAAGGAACCCCCTCAAGATAGCAGCTGTCATGAGTTAGCCGCACTCCAGGAGGAGCTAACCAAGATGCGTGAGGAGCGGAATTACTTTCAGGCGCAGTATAAGTTCCAAACGCAGGTTAACAGCGAACTAAAAAGCTTGCTGGTGGCCTCCGTGGGCGAGGATCTGCAGACGAGGGTCAATGTCCTAACTGAGGACAAACTACAACTGGCCAGAGCACTCCTCGACACCGCCAACAATCTGACCACCCACACCGAGCAAATTGAGTTCCTGGCCGGACAATGCGAGGTGTGGCGCTCAAAGTTCCTGGCCAGCAGCGTCATGGTCGAGGAACTGGCCCGCTGGAAGGCTGATCTCACCCAGAAGAACCAGCTGCTGAACGAGTCCACCAAGCAGCTACTCCATGCCACCCACCAGATTCGCGAAATTCAGCTGGACATGCTCAAGCAGCTCAAGTTCCTGGCCAAGATTCGCTTTCTCAACCTGCCCGCCACCGATGTGATCAGCCTGAGTGCCGAGAACCTAAACATCCTCCAGCGCATGGTACTGCACACGGGCGTGGGCATTCCCGAGGAGACTCTCAAGCTGTCCAGCGCCAGCACGAGTCCACTTTGCGAGGCGGAGAAGTATGCAGTTAGGGTGAGTGTACGGGCAGTTGTGCAAATTTAAATTTTCATTGATCTCATTAATCTTCCTCTAGGCCCTGGAATTCATCAGTCAGCCGCTAATGGCCACCGATGAAGCCATACGAGCTCTTTTTGACCAGGCCCAGCGGCCACATTATGTACAACCAGCTGCCACGGACTTAGCTTCCACCGATAATCCACAACCAGATAAACAGCAATAAGTCGTCAATCGTAAGAAATTAGTGTGACAAGTGTTTAGGTCTATTAAATTTTATATACAATCAACAAACATATAAGCTGGTTTCTATTCTTTTCTATATTTTTTCTTGTTTAATCGAATTAAAATGCAAAAGCAAAGATTCCGAAGCTTAAGCAACCTTTATTTTGACTTAATTTCGGTGAAAGATTCTGAAGGCCTTCTAAACTGTATATACTATCAGCAAACTTAAATGCATGTTTCAAATTCTGTTCTAGTATATCTTCCTATGATGAAAACCAAAGATTCTAATGGCTTTTTAAATTTTATATAAAATCAAAAAATTTAATCATAGTTAAAACCAAAGATTCTTGAGGTCTATTAACTTTTATATACAATCAACAAACGTAAATGCAAGATTCCCAATAGGACATCATTTCAGGGTAAAAACCAAAGATTCATCAAGTGAGGCATCCTTTACTTTGACTTCTTTTCGGTGGAATACAAATCCAGACGCCGTTGTCCGAAGACGGGAATCTGCTGACGCACTTGCTCCACCAGGGAGAAATCGATATCCGCCACTACTGTTTCCTCACCATCACCGGCACTCTGCTGCACTTTGGCCCAGGGATCCACCACCAGGGAATGGCCGTAGGCAACGTACGCGGCACCAGGATCCCTGGCTGGCGAAGTGGTCACCACAAAGAGTTGGTTATCATTGGCTCGGGCTCGCTGAAGCAGCTCCCAGTGGAGAGGACCAGTGGTCATGTTGAAGGCAGCCGGATAGATGATCATCTCACAGCCAGCATTGCGATAGAGCCGCGCCATCTCCTCAAAACGGATGTCGTAGCAGATGCCGATGCCGATCTTGTGGCCATCTATGTCGATGGTGGTGAAGTCATTGCCTGCGGACAGGGTTTCCGACTCCTTGAAGCGAATGCCGCCCTTGACATCGATGTCGAATAGATGCATCTTGCGGTGCTTGGCCACCAGATCGCCAGTAGGTGACCACACCGTACAGGTGTTATAGATGGCATCGTTTTCACCCAGTTCTGGAATTGTTCCTCCGACTATATAAACCTGGTGCTTCTTGGCCAAGTTCGAGAGCTGCTGAGAGGTGTAGCCATCGGGAATGGTCTCGGAATACTCCCGGAAATACTTGGTGCCATATGGAGCATTGAAACATTCTGGTAGGGTGATCAATCGTGGTTGGTGCTCCCTGACCGCCGTCTCGATTTTGCTGACTGCGTTTTGGACATTGGCCGCCTTGTCCTTGGAGCCCTTTAATTGCAACAGCACCAAACGCATGACTATCAAATCAGAAAGATGGTTTAACAAGTCCTTTACTTGGAGAAACACTTACTGTTGTTGGCTTTGCTCATATTGCTGCTATTTAATGTTATCTGTTTGCAGTTTGATAACCAAGTCTACCGCAAGCAAAACAACAACAACAGGTGATGGCAGGGGCGTAGTAAAGGGGGATTGAGCAAATCAAATATTTTTTATCATGTAAAATATTAATCAATAAAAGATTACTAATTAAAATAAAAGAGTTATATTTTAAGCAAAAGCTTTATTTATGTCCACGTATATAAAACTAAATGATTACAAATACCCCTTTTTATAAAAATACTTAAATCTAAGCCCCTGTTTCTCAAGCAATCTGGCAAGGCTATGTAGTGTTGGAAAACGCCGAGCAGCTGGCAGCGCAGCCAAGTTCACGTCGTGCGGCAGCAGGGTTGCCACCTTTCTTTCTAGTTTCGTCTCTTTAGAGGTACGCACGTGTTCAATTTACAATTCCCCTGAAATTCGCCGAAAAGTGCGATAAATTAATGAAAATAAACCTTCAAAAGCAGCTAGAACTGCGAACCGATAAGTGATATACCCTATACGCCCAATTAATAATGATTTTCTCCGCTTTTGCATATGTAACCATCGAATTGCTTGGCTCGGCAGCAACAACAACAGCAAAATGGTCCAACGTTTGACGCTGCGGAGACGCCTGTCCTACAACACACGCTCCAACAAGAGGCGCATGTAATTACTAGATATTTAACCCCATGAGAAAGCATATATTTATAATAATATAATTTACAGTGTTCGCACTCCCGGTGGCCGCCTGGTGTACCAGTATGTCAAGAAGAACAAGACTGTGCCCCGTTGTGGCCAGTGCAAGGAGAAGCTCAAGGGTATCACCCCCTCCCGCCCCAGCGAGCGCCCCAGGATGTCCAAGCGTTTGAAGACCGTGTCCAGGACCTATGGAGGAGTCCTGTGCCACAGCTGCCTGCGCGAGCGCATCGTCCGTGCCTTCTTGATTGAGGAGCAGAAGATCGTCAAGGCTCTGAAGAGCCAGCGCGAGGCTTTGGTCAAGCCGGTCAAGGCCCCCAAGGCCAAGCCCGATCCCAAGAAGAAGCCCGTGGGCAAGGGCACCAAGGCCGGCACCGGCAAGGTCACCAAGGCCGGTGCGGGCGGCAAGGGAGCCGCTGGCAAGAAGCCCGGCCAGAAGCCAGCCGCCGGAAAGCCCAGGAAGTGAACTTCCCAAGCGAACAGATCGGTTAACTGCTAAATAACTTAAAAATAAATGGTTTTTCCAACCGGATGACGGTGTTTAATAATATGGGTTTTCTTAAGGATCTTAGTTTTTAATTCTTGTTGGGTTTGTTGTGTAAGTGTTCTTTCTTTAAGAAGCACCTCTCGATATTAAAATAAATTTGTTTCCGAACGAAAAGCCCAATAAGTGTACTATCCAAGCGAACAGCACGGCTTCTTAATTTTTAAACTAAAATGTTTGCTAACTGGATTTGGTGGGTTTCGTAAGAGAATTAAGCTGTTGAATTCCTATTGGAGTTTTTGATTTTCCATTCCATTGCTCCGTGCCATATTTTGCAAAGTAGTTCTTGTAGTTGTTCTTCAAACATATTTTGAAAAAATTCAAGTCTTGTTCAATCAGTGTTTTTAAAATTAAAATAAGTTGGAGGTATTTAAAATTATATGTTTCATTTATTAAATTCATATTTTATGATTATTTCAAAATGCAGTATTAGTAGTAGTGATTATAAGTCGCAAATTATAAAATTGTTAGCCTTGTAAATCCGTTCTTTCTAAAGAACTAACTAGAAATAAAATGTTATTTCCAACTACATGATACTTATAGAAAAAACTGTAAATTCGTTCGTTATGGTCAACAATTTTTATAGTTTATTGCCACGAGGGATCACTGTACTTTAGTTTTGACATTTGACATCAGAAATAGGTGGCAACACTGCAGTCAACAGCTGTGCGGCACAAACACTTTGCAAATTCTTGAAAATCACGTAAGTCGCTGCTTTCTGTTTTGGTTTTTTGTAAATAAAAAAGTAATTTTGTATTTAGGATGTCGGGAACTAAGGTGCTGCGCTCCCTGCTGCACGAACTGCGCCAGGCTGCCCCAAATGGCTGCATCAAGGACTCCTTGGCCGCGCGTTACGTGCTGGCGCAATACAAGAAGTTCGCCACCACAGAGCAGCAATTTTGCAAGGCGCGGAATGAGGCGACTTTCCTGGGACAAACCTACTTGACCTATTTGTCCAGCCAGCGCCAGTATTTGGAGATCTACAAGGAGTTTCACGGGAGGGGCGAAAGATCCGTGAGGGACACCGCCGATCTGGTGGGCTTCAAGCTGCCCTCGGATCCCAAGTGATCTGGTATCTCGTTTATGTTGTCTAGTGTAGTGCGATTAAAGCGGCTAATATAGCAAAATCTTTGCTTTTGCATACTACTGAATCATCTGCCTAAGCATGGTTATAACACGGTAAGTCACACTCATCAGCTAAAGGGGAAAATAAGGAATATGTATCACTCGAATAAGTAATTTCCATAACATTACCTGTTTAAAGGTATCCAGCGAAATGGACAGGTAACCCATGGCATTCAATTCAACGGGCTGTTGTGCCCTTATGATAATTATCATCAGGTACTTCTTGTAGGCAATAGAGGCATTATGAAAATCGTGATTGTACACGGCATGTGCAACCTGAGCACTCTGCAAAGGATCAAAGTTAATGGGCAACTTGATATGTTAGGATATATTTAACCAACCAAATCCAGGACTTGCTGACCGTAATAGCAAACCAAATACACCTGCATGGTCGAAGTGCCGATAAACAACACATAACTACAGCCCTCCAAAGTGGCGCCCTGAATTAGTGTGTAAACAGCCACCGTACAAAGAACCGAAGCGGTGGTAAGTAGGCTCAAAAGCAGCGATCCTCCAAATATCTCATTTAGCTCGTTTTGCAGCCTGTCACATAAAAGGGTCAATAATATCCTTAAATCAATAATCTCTACGCTTAAAAAAATGTTTAAAATAAACTGAAATTGTCTTTAAATTTAAGCTTTAAAAAGCCTGAACAAATTGTATTGCTTTAAAAACATTGAGCTGCATGCTAAAATTTAAGCTTGGTAAAGATAATCTTAAAATTGTTTATTAAAATTATAACTAATATGCTTTTAAAGACAAAACTACATTCACTTACTCGACTAGGTACACCTGCTTGTCCACAATTTGCGCCAGGAACTTACGATCCTTAAGATCATGCTCCCCACTGGGCTGGTAATCCTCCAACGACTGTATAATGCCCCTGAAGTGTAGAATAATCTGTATTTGGAAGTACAGCAGCCAGATATCCGCGCCAATATTGGAGATGACCATCTGGGTGCTGTGCAGCCACTCCAGGACATAGATACCAACGTATATCCAAACAGAATGTTTTTCAGGATCGAATTGAAAGTAGGGATAGCAATGCATGAAGGCAAAGCCACGATGTGTAAAATAGGAAATTAACGAGGTAATAATGGGTCCCACGACGACCAAACTCGACGAGCCAATGTAGATGGTGACCAAGTAGACAAATGGCTTGGACCAATAGTGGTCATTCACCTGAAGATAGATCCTGTCCAGGGTGGTCTTCGGATACAGATCGGCCAGCTTGGAGTTTAGACTTTGGATGGCACGGCGCTGCAAGACGGTGGCATACTTCGTATCCGAGTTGATGACATAGGTGACCAGCGTGGCATAGCGCATGATCAGCGAAACATTGTCAATGGTTTTGGCCTCAACCATTCGAAATATCATGAATCCCACGCAAACGCTGTGGCTGGCGAGGCAAATAAAGCGATAGAATCGCATTAGAATCCTCCGGGTTGGGGTCTTCGGCACACCTAGCATGTCGTATCCCATCAATCCAACCACAAATCTGGGCAATCGGCCGAAGTCCTCGTAGCTATACTGCACCGGTTCCATTTAGAAGGTGTTATGTGGCTGGTTTTGGTCGGTGAACTGGTATTTATAGGACCTAAATCCTGGGGGAGGGCTTTGCGGTTTGGCAGCAGGTTAAAAACCCTTGAGAGAAAGGTTTACGTGCCGGTTGACAATTAGGCAAGGCGTTAAATGCCTAAATAATTGATATTCGCTTTCCTTCATTTATGGAGCTATTTAATCCTTTGGTAAATCATAAACAACCAATGTACTTCCTACACTGAATATTCCTGATACGATTTCCTTTAAGGTGACTTCCTGTCACTTACATTAATTAGTTTATTTATTTATTTATTTATACAATGCTAACTTATAGTTTAAACTATGAGCTAACAAAAATAGTGGTTAGAGCTATAGCTGCAAGAGGCCTTCAGCTCTGAGGGTGGTTTAGTATTTTATATTAATTAATTAATTATTTAATTTCTCCATAAGATTACATTTTTCAATAATATGTATTTGTACAGCACTTTACATCTTTTGTAAATCGCAAATAATAATTCCTGAGAAATTTTGTTTAAAAGGAAATAAGGACCATGTTTCAGGAATGTTTATTTTAATGTCGAATTATTTAAATAATAAATTGATATTACTTTTGTTAAGCCCTTAGAGCTATTTAAATCATAAACAATTAATTTTTCTGAAAATTGTATGTAATGTCTTGTAAAGCCTATTTATTTTAGGACTTTGATTTTGTTAACTTATTAATAAGGTACTCATCTTGTATTTAATTTTTTTTTAAATTTAAGCCTTTAACTGCTTTCCAAAATACAGACAATGAAGAACAAAAAATTATCATTAATTAAGCTCAATTGAGAGATGCGCAGAATCAAAGTTGCAATAACCAAGGCCATTGAGGTTATAACTTTTTTATGATCATGAGTTGAAATAAGGGCTTCACAAGCCATATACACTGCATATTTATATATTATAAATTGCATATATTGGCCCTTAAAGAATATTTTCAAGGTCTGTAAGTACGGGAATTTCTTGCGGTTTCACACCTTTGGCAATCTAAACGTAATTGTTTTTAATTCCAGCTAAGCTGGAATCCATAATTTAATGGGTTTCTTAATTTCTCTAGTTTTAACAGTTTAGGGGGTCTCAAATTAAATTAGATTTCACTTATGAACACTTGAGCAGTCAGTTTCTGTGCTCACTGCCGCACTTGTCCATAAAAATATGTACGCATAATAATGCTGTTTGACTGGGAGGAGCAACCACTTTGGTCAATGGTTTGCACTTAATAATTTCCATAAATGAGCTCCTCAGTTTTCTTGGGCGTGTTTACCGTTTCTTTGTTGCTGTACTTGTGCGTTGCACTTGCCTTTGTTGTTGCTGCTTTTGTTGTTGTTGACATAAATGAAATTCTTGCTCGCAGCAACAAATTGCCATGGGAGTCGTCTGCTCAATAGGTTCTATCCGACATCTGACTGGAATGCTAAGCAGCAGCAGCAAGGCGGCAAAAGGAGGTGTCTGGTGGCCACTGACATTGCAGCAACCTTTCAGGCAAAAGGTGTTACCCTCAGATGCCAAATAGTTGGCCGACAGCACAGGTTTCCGTTGCACAAATTTCTGTAAATACCAATCTAATATTTGTAATAAAAGAAATATCAATTAAAGAATTCATTACAGCATTAGATCTTAAATAAAATAGATCGGAAGTTTTCTCAGGTAAAAAATATAGATGTTTTCTAAATGAATTACTAAAGATATAGTTATTATGAATGTTTTACTCTCAGATACTAGAAAGTTTTTACTAGAAAAGTGTTTCTCACTTTAATTTTAGTTTGCAAGATATACATATTGTCCCTTTATTAGATATCAGATAGTATATGATATAATGTTAAATAGTACAGATAAGATATATATATTAAAAGATAAGTTGTTTCTTAAAGCTTAAAGTGACTTATTAAGCTATTACCAGATATGAGAACATGTTTTTTGTCAATTTTAAAAACACTTTAACCGTTTGTCAAATGCATCTTAGGGTGTAAAGTCTCAGATACATTGCTCAATATATCCATAATGTGTGTGTTTTGATTTTATTACTTTATTCTATGTATAACCTATGTATCAACCACTCATTTGTTGCTGTCACATTATTGCACAATTTTCAAGTCGGTCAGCTATTGTTTGACGAGTTCCCATTGCCGAACCATGCTGGCTCAGCTAGCTATATAGAAAACTCAAGACTGATATATACGAGTTCAGACCCATGTTGAACTTCTCCCATCAATTTTACTGTCTTACAGTGCATGTGTAATTTATTCATTAGTTTCAATTGGCCGCCAACTGTTGCCTCCCATTTTCTTCTTCTGTTCTTCGAAAGCATTTAACTAAAACTGATGCTCTATATTCACCGAGAATTGCACTTGCGAAAAGAAACTCAAACATTAATGGGACATTCGAGGAGATTTATGTGAGGCAACTATGCGTCACAATGCTCACGATGTCTGCTTAAATTAGAAGCAGATATTTAGGCCGCCTCTCTACTTATAGCTGTTCCCATTATTCGAGCGGGATGAGGTGCCTGTGGGATATATAGGCAAATAAAGAAAATCAGTTAGGACACAGGACACAGGAAGGAAGGTGTCTGGTGCCGTCTCACTAAATACTTTATGAGGCTGAGGCGCCTTTGTAAATCTTCTTTTTTTTCCGTCTGACTCCAACCAAAATAAACACAGCAAAACCCGGACCCGGACCCGGGAAACGGATCCGAATTCCGTACCGGGTACTCGGTGCATAGACAACGGCAAACACCCTAAACCCAGAAGAAAGCACACAAAGTGAGAAACAACAACAACGGGAGATGAATGGCTGGCGGAACAAAGAGCACGCAGAGATTCAGAAATGGGCAACAGGCTGGCCAAGAGACGTCTGGCCTGGTGTAAAACAAAAAAAAACAAGAACAAAAAGTGGTAGGAGGTGGCGGGCCATTTGCCCGGCAATCAAACCAATGGTCAGGGGTTTTGTCCTCCAAACGCGGCAGCATTAATCGGCATAAAGTACAATATCTCACACCCCACCAAGAACCGATGCGATTTCAATATGCATTATTCAGTCGGTGGTTGGGGCAATGGATTGCAGAGTGGATTGGTAACACACTAAAAATATTTTTAACTTCAACTGCATAGAGGAATCTAGAAATAAGTTCACATTTTAGGGTTGATTTGAAAATCGACTTAAACCTTTTAATCTTAAGTGTAAAGAGTTTAAAATACATTTGTTATCTACTCAAAGCCAAAGATACTTCTGTGGTGGCCATTTTGCATCTCTTATTGCTATGGCAGTTTTAGAGAATTGATTGGTTTTTAATTTCATCTTCAAAATCAGCAGATTTCTGAGACCAAATATTACTGTGACCATTAGGCATGTCCTTTTAAAGTTTAGTTGTTAAAGGTTTTTTCAACGTTTGATTCGTAATTTTGTAGCATCCCTTTTTCTAAATAAGTTTTTTTTTTATGTGCATTAAAGAAAAGCGACTGACACTGCAGGACTTTTAAAACACTGTTTGCATTATGCGCAGTACAGGACGCATCGACGACCACAAGGACAACAAAGACCAGGAGCAGCAGGAGCTTTGGAGTTGCTGCGCTTTTCACTTTCCCATTTATTAATGAATTTATTGGCCCGCCTGCGTTTGATGCACAAATGCATTTTCACATTTATCGTGAAACTGACAGGCAATGAAAGGGGGAAAATTAAATGGAGGTGGCAATGGGTTTGGATGCGGGGGTGGTTGGTCGAGGACGAGGACGAGTCAAGGGTAGATCTACGCATAACATTTATCATAGCTTTTGTTTTGGTTACATTTCAGCTGCTTCCGTTTCCACAGCGACCGAGTGGGTGGGCGGGTGTCTCTAGATCCTGGCAGCTGTTACACGAAACACCCGAACCTGTGTAATTAATAGTGCGGAAATTTGGTAATTCTCCGATTACAACACTCATTGCTGTCAGGCAGAACGAAGTCAAGGAACAAATCGAGAAGCACATAGAAAAGATAGACAAACGTTTAAAATGGAAAAGTTTGCCTTTAGATTTCTCAATCACAATTAAAATTTCCTTTGAACATTTTTAAGAATGAAAAAAAGTATTTCTAAGACTGTTTTTTCTTACGTGTTTATCAAAATCTAAACAAGGCATACGATTTTTTCCTAAATTATAATCGATTTTTTTGCAAAGAACATTTTTTTTTAAATAAATCTTTAAATTTTTAATCAAAATTTTTAATTATTCATTGAAGCAAATTTTTTTACAATTTGAAGACAGCTTATTAAAAAAGCAGGAATGTATAAAGAGGTCTTAAAAATCAAAAGTATTTTGAATGGTTTTATATAGAATTAAGAAAATTACCAGAAAAAGGATAATTAGCCTTGAATCATCAGACAGCTGAAGGCAAAAGTCAGCAAACAAAGCAAATCCCTTGTCCACTATTGAGTTTTATTTGCTGAGAATGTCTACTGGGTTGCCAACAACCGGTTCTCCTGTCTTTTTTCTCTTGCTCTCTCCGCCTCTCATTTTCTCTGTTTTTCTCGCCGCTCTCTCGCATCGCTCATTCGCCGCATTGGCTCGACTGCCCAACTGCTTGAATGCTCGATTTAATGCCGGCGCTCAGACTCAGTTCCCGTTGAACATTCGACGCAGACGGTTCGCTGCGTTTGGGCCTGATTTTAGTAATCCCTGTTTCGATTCGATTCGATCCGATATTCTTGGGCTGTGTGTTTGCTCCATTCGCGATTCTCGAGTTCCAGTAGCCCAATAGCCATGTGAAGTGCAGGCCAACGAAATTCAAATTCGTCGTCGCTTATTAAAGCCTTTGACACGATAACGATCTATTTTTAATTATGATTGTGCCAAGAACTGTGCTCTAATTACGCAAATTGCAAGTGAAATCCGTCGGCAAATAAATTCTGCGGTAAATTGTGGTTCCCTCTTAAAAAAAAAATAAACACGATTTATCCCGTGATCACCTCTGAAATTGTTATTTACATTTTTAATTTATATAACGGTGGAGTTGCTACTACTCTCCTCGCATTTGCTGCTGTTGTTGTTGTTGTCGTTCTGGTTCTGGTGGCTGGGGATGCTCCCCTAGTTTGCTGCCTAACCCGTTTATGTTTTACTCGACTTGGCCAACTGCACACGCACATACAGACAATGCATCAAGTTGTTGTTCTGTCGCATCCATGCACAGACTGGAAAAAAAATTTGGGAATGATATGATGGTCAATTTGATTTCATTTTCCATATCATTTTGGAACTGACATCAAATTCAATTCAGACTAAAATGTCTCAACACATTGAAAATCAAAGGAACTTGAACCACATGATATAATATGAGATTTTATGTGATTTCACATAAACATAAAGTTTATTACGACATTTTATGTGACAGGATTTCGAAATCTAATTATATGGGAAAATATTTAAAATACTGAGACTATATTTTTTGTATACTTAACGTAAACAAAACTAGAATTCATCTTGTGTTCAACTTTGTACACCAATATAAGTGTTATGAACTGATTTGATTTGCTATCTCAGGCTTGTCTTTCTTCTTGTGTATCTTTAAGATACACGTACTTGCCGCACACACCTTCTGTCGCAGTGTTTCCTTATTGACTTCGCCCCTGCCTCCTGCCCCGCCCCCTCCCTTGGGGCACTGTTTATTTTTGTTTGCTCGCCCAGCAAGCGGGAAAAACAAGTTTTTTTCTTTGAAACCAAAACAACAAGCGAAACAACAACCACAGCAGCAGGAGCAGCAAAGGCAGCAATAGCAGCAACTGCGCCGCAGCTTTGGAAAATACTTGGGGAAAAGTTCAAGTGAAGACAACTGTTGCATTTAAAATACATTCGAATTAAAAGAGATAAATATACAAGTGTCGGGTGTTGAATGTTGGGTGAGAGCGGAAAATGCGTTAATTAGCGGATAAAAAGTATATGCCTGTGACTCGAATTAAGTCGTTAATCAAAAGTCGCGAACTGGGTATCGTATCGTGTGTAATTAGCAAATGTCGTGACATATGCAAAAGCAAAGCGGAAAAAAAAACCAAGAAATGTCAACGCATGTGAAAGTTTATTTTGGAAAAAAATGTTCAAAAAAAAAAAAGTGTTTGTGTGACATAAATAATTAATTTCAGTGAGGCGATAAAGAGCAACGCCAGCAAAATCCCATGCAACAAGTGTTGGCCACATGTCCGCTATGTATTTTTTTTTTGTTTTCTTGTGCAACTCCGCTCTCCCCAAAAAAAACCACTGCCCTTTCTGAATCATTCCTATATATCGAATAAATATATCTCGCAGAGTGCCGGAACCTAAATAGGGACCTAATCGAGACCAAAAATGGGCTTCTCGTCGGCTCTGCAAAGTCGAGCCGCCCACGAGGCGCTAATTGTCCGCCAGGATGCCGAACTGCGGCTCATGGAGACCATGAAGCGATCCATCCAGATGAAGGCCAAGTGCGACAAGGAATACGCAATCAGCCTAACAGCCGTCGCCCAGCAGGGTCTCAAAATTGATCGGGCTGACGAAATGCAAGGTAAGACTACCATAAGGCACGATAAGATTGTCCAGTCAATTATTTGTTCAATGATATCGCAGCAAGTGCACTGGCCTCACTTCATAATCTACGATTTGGGCCCATTTGTTCATTTCTAGTAGATCAAACTGCTGTTTCTTTCTAGACTGATGGAATAAACAAAATAAATATTGAATGTATGAATTAAAAATAATGAAAAACCAGGCTCAAGGTCTGTGTTTCTATAGTGTCTTTCCTTTCTTCTTCTTTTCTCTCGCATATATTTAAGATCATACAATCAATGCATATCAAACTTCATGATTTAATGTTTAATATTTGAGGAAATGTAAAAAATATAAGATTTCAGATGAAAAATATTAAATTTATTGGTTTTAAACACATAAAATTTGTGTGTAGTTTAGTTCAAATTTAGAATCATTTTTCAGATTTTGAAACCTATTTCAAGAAAAGCCAATTTTATATACCACAATGAAAATAATCATCAATATTTTAATTGACTGTTGAAAACGAAGTATATACCAGTTTAGAAGTGATAAACATCCATCAATTTGTTTGGGGTAGTACCCAATTTTTTGGCTTGTCAGACGAAAAATTTATATTTTATTTAAATGTCTAAGCCATTTGTCAGCTTATTAGTCTATTTTAAAAACCTTAAATATAATTTTAAAAGTAATTTAAGCTTTTGAAATTGCTTTGTAAAGACTAGATGATAAAGAAAGTGCTACTTTTTATGTTTTTTTATAGCATTCGAAATAAAATTTTAGCTGCATCCGGACTAAAGTTAGTCAGTTATAAAAGCACAGTTTCAGTGTCTTAAATTTTTCTGTATATAGTGACTGATAAAAACTTTAAAAAACCCGAAATTTAGTCGAGACTTTACTCTTTAATGGCATTTATTTTTAGCATTCTTAAGCTGAAAATATGTCTGACTTAAGCCTGATAAAATGTAAAAGATTTTATAATATAATATGAACTTCTCGACTCTCTTAATTTCCATTTCTTAAAACTTCTAGCTTTTAACTCATTTGCAACATTTTTATTATCATTAATATAAATTATCTAGATAGTAGCTAAAAATTTTTGACAAAGATACAAATAAATTTATAAATTTATTTGGCAAAGCAAATATCAAGAGTGACTTCTACCCATAACTATATAAAAGTGCAATAAAAGTGCTTATATATAATTCCTAAGAATATTTGCTAGACATATGTTCAAAAAATTACAATTTATTGCTAAATGGACCAAGTGTTGTAGTGTTATTCTCGAACTCAATTGACCTTTTGGGCATTACTCACAACATTTGCTGGGTGGCCAGTGCGGTTACAGCCTCCACCAGCGAATCATCCATTAGTCAGGGTAAATGTCCGGCAGTTATATGTTATAGTAACTTAAAGGCAAGTGTCGATAAGCTGGTGGATGGAAACGATGGGACGATGACACTCGATGGAATGAATCTTATCGCAGGGGTAGAGAATTAAATGCCAGCCAAAACTGCAGCCCTTCCTGAACCTTATTTCTGGTGTGAAATTTGGCAGGCTGCTGGCCAGTGGCTAATCGCGTGACTCGATCGCATTGCCAAGTGAATAATACGCGTTAGGTTTATTTCAAACGACTCGAGATAATCGCCGGACAAGCAAATCGTTTTCAACTACCGTGCTCTGGGTGGCATTCACATCGCCTTCGTCCAGGACTCTTGGCAAATTGGCCAAGAGCTCATCAAAGTGTCGACAAAGTGCAGCTGCCTTCTTCCTGTGCTCCCCTAGAACACATGAAATTGCTATAATTTGCAGTCAGTGTCAGTGTTTTTGCTTTTCGCTTGGGAAATGTTTTCGTTGCTGTTTACATGGCCAAACAAACGTATCCGCTGGATGCGAATACACGCACACAGATAGTGGACAAAAGCGTAGCCAAATGATTTAGTTCGGGCCATTTGATATAGCCCGAATATATATATAGACGTAAAAACATCTCCAGCTCCACCGACTGATTTGCCTCTCACCTTGACCATGAACTTGAATCAAACGCGGCTTGAAGTCTAAACTTAAAACTTTGCAGCTTAAGTTTTATGAGTAAAGAAACATTGAAAGGCTTCTTATCTATTTGTGGAATGCACTTGCAATAAAATAAGTCAAACAAAGAATTTAAAGAATTCGATAAGAGTTCAACTCTGTTTTCCGCGAAATATTTGTATTTGTATTTCTAATTATAATTTTGTGTTAATAATCTGGCTTTTTTGTACTAAAGAGTGTTATTGATTGTTTGCTTTTACAGGCAGCTTGATCACGAAGTCCTGGCGTTCCTACTTGGATGAGCTGGACCAGCAGGCCAAACAGTTCAAGTTCAACGCCGAGCAGCTGGAGGTCGTCTGCGATAAGTTGACCCATCTTTCACAGGATAAGCGAAAGGCCCGAAAGGCTTACCAGGAGGAGCACGCTAAGATCGCAGCTCGCCTGAATCATGTGAGTGTTCCAGACAACACCTTAAAAACAATACTTATGAATACTTATTCAAACATACGACGCGCCCAAAACAGAAAGCATATGAGTTATCAAAAGACAAGGCACTGGGGAAAAATGGTGAAATAACCGTTTCAAAACTTAAGAACTGGTTGGATAATAATTTTTTTTGATCTTCAAAATATATTTATTTATGAAATTTGTTTATTTTTATTTTACATCTATATATATATATATATATATATATATATATATATAAATATATAAATGTGTGAGGTGTTCTCTTCTTCTGGTGTAAGCATTCGTTTATTTATGATTGCCATTGCGGAGTCAACAACAATAATAATCATTTCAAGCTTGGGGCCCCACGAAGCTCAAGCTCCGCCCACAGCCATCTTTTGTTGCTTTTGCTGGCCATTGTTCGATATTCTGATATATTAAGTATTTGTATAATCAAAATAAATATTAAGTATTTCTGCGGAAAAGAAGAAACGACTTGTGGCACATTTAAGCGGCTTATGAGTCTTGTAAACAAGAGCCTCTCCAAAATAGAAGGAGAACCAGTCGATGTACTATAGTAAATCAATAGAAGTGTTTATTTATGAGCCGTGTCGTGCGGCAACAAGTTTATTAACCCAGCGGGCAGAATATTAGAACAGCAAAACAACAAACAACACAAGCATGAAGAAGGGTCAACAAATTGCGAATATTCACGGGTGCTGACAGCAAATTAGCATTTCGACAGTCACAAAAGAACGCGGCGGAACTTCATTTTATAGTATGTAGTATAAAAAAAGGTGGCCTATGAAAAATGTTTTTTTTTTTAAGCCACATGAGACATGTTGCAAATCGGAGGATAGATGGCCACTGCCAAAATGGCTGACGATGACCCAAAAAAATTGTTTTGTTTCGTGATTTTGGCATAGAATTCCGTTGCCTCTCGGCAGCTACTGTTTTATATCTTCCTGCGGCCTTTGTCAAGTCAAAATAAAAGTCTCGTTTGGCATTGCATCGCTTACTTTAGTATTATTTATTTATTTATCACAAGATACCCATCTATTTTTGTGGCAAACAAGACTTTTTGCGCCGCAGTTTCGCTGGTGCAAAACAAAATTTAATGGGCGGCGAGAATGCCAATCAAAATTTCATCGAATCGTCGATGATTTCTTCACATCGTTTAACAATTTATAATGTCTGTACTTGTTTTTTTAGCATGAAAAAAATTACGGATGTCTGTTTTTATATAACAAGAGCCGGAAAAGTTTTAGATAATATTTGTAGAATGTTAATATTGGCAAAACAACCTTTTAAAATTATTATTATTTTTTTTTTTTTTGGGTAAAGAATGTTTTTTTTTTGTTTCTTTGCAGCTTAAAGTTAAATGTACTTGCTAAAGTAAGCCAACTTTTTGAGGATTTATTGGTTCCTTCAATAGTTAGTAATCGAACACTAAACTTTGGCAGCCCACAAAAAACCAAAAAAGTCCTACAACTGACAACAACACATGCTCCAAACTTGCACCAGTCTCAAGTCAATTGACAACAATTTAGCGAAATAGCAATAAAAATAACAAGGCATTCAGACAGCAGCAAAAAAGCGAGGCAGAATTCTGGGTAAAAGAGTCCAAGTGGAAGATGAGATGGCCTTTGGCTGCGACTTCAGTTGGGTTCTGGTCTGGGTCTCCATCGTCTTCGGTTTTTCTTTATTGGACTTTGACTTTGTAATATTTGCGCAATGGATTGAACAGAGCAGAGCGACAGCAATAACAGCAGTAAAAACCTGAGTTACTATATAGTCGAGAACTCATCGAGGAATTGTTGCTGTGCTGTGCTGTTGATTTAATAAGTGACTGGAAATGGGTCGACGAGTCAGTCGATTGGTCTGATGGCGGAATCGGTTCTATATGGTGTTGATGGATGGAATTGCAATATGGTGTTGATGGATTGGCATTAGATTATTGTTATTGGGAGCGCAGGCAAACAATCCAGGAACTTATGATTGAAAGAAATTGATTAAGACTTATAGGCTTTGAAAGTATACCAGAAATTTCATTAAGAGTAATCACAGTTTCTAATTTAATTATCTTGTTAATAACATGTCAAAGCTCTCTAAACAGTTAAAGTCAACTGCAAATATATGAATTCACTCAATTGAGTATAATAATATTTGTAATGTTTCAAGCACTTGCTGACATTTAAAATAGTTTAAATTTGTAAACACATGCTGACATTACAAAATGGTATCTCAATCTTAGCAATTGCAGTGTTAATTTGCTCAAAAATATATTGTAACGTAAACAAGTTTATGTATTTATTTATTTAACTAAGTGTAATAATATTTGTAATAATTTGAATACATGCTGACCTAAAAAAATAGTATCATAATTTTAGCAATTGCGGTGTAAATTAGCTTAAAAATATAGTCTAACGTAAAATAGTTTATGTAATAGGCTTTTCAGTCTTATAAATATTTCCCTTAAAATTTGTAATTTATGGGTACTCTTATACGATAACTCTACAAAACTATTTGTGGGCTATCAAACAATCTAGTTCATGTTGTTGTTATTAAGATTGCAAATTTGTAGTACTTTTTGGTTCCAGGAAAAGCACATTCAACTTATCTGTACTTTATTGTCGGATGTAGTTTGTGGGCAAACTAAAAAATATGTGAAATACACTGAGGTCTAGAGGGTATCTCAAGAGAAAAAGCAATAACTTAGCCCTGGCTGTCATCAAAATGTATTTAACTAAAGATTTTTGGCCAACTGCGAGTTTGGTTATTAATTGAAAACACTTAAGGGCGCCTGCCACGCCCACCCACAGCCCTCCACTTTCAGCTAATGGATATGGAATTGGTTTTAATGTAGCTCTGTATCTATGTATCTGCTGGCTTGTCAAATGTGCTGCACACGCCCCGCAAAAACGCATTAGGTATAAACTTCCGGGTGGGTTTTCCACCGCTTTTCCACACAGGCACACACATGCCAGCTTTGCTGGGGCTTCACAAATTCCCCTATTCTATTGATAAACCGCAAAAGGCATACTAAAATGCCCCGAGACGTTTTGCAGCCGAAGGAGATACATTTCCATCGACTGGCATTGAAAATACTGCGGCGGCGAATCGTACTCGTATTAATTACAATAAGTTCAATTCAAGTATCTTTATGGCAGCCAAACACGACGTGAAGCAGAACAAAACAGTCGCTCGTCTGTGTTTTCGACCCTGGTATTTCAGATAAGCCGATAAGATATGACTTTGAAGAACTGAAGTACTGGGGCACAAACAAGTGGGTGAGTGCAGTGGCCGCATCAAATGTATCTATCAAATACACATGGCCCCAGTTGTTGGGACCACTTGAAGATACTTAACGAATGGCATGCAAAAGCCGGCGCTTGATTGAAATTCCCCATTAAACTCGAACAAGGGAGGTTGGGTAATGTTATTCGAGAGACGGCGCCAGAGTTATTTTTTTAACCAGCCCTTTGAAATGTTTCACCCCAAAAACAGCCGTCCTTTCCCTGCAATAAGAGTCAATTGGCTCCACACACACAAAAGCCTTTGGACAAGCCATTTAATTGAGCTGCATTGACCTGTGCCCGGAGTTCTCAAGTGTCTACAAAGTTTTTCCCCATGCATAATTGCCGCACGCACGTCCCAAATGGGTGGCTAAAAGGGAAATACACCTAAAAAAATAAAAAATAACAATAATATAAAAAACATAAAACAAATTAAAACAAAAACAGATAATATATATGTTTCATCCAACAAACTCGCTTAACATCATTATTTTAATCAAATGAATCTATTTTCTCGCAGTACATTCGGGTATAAGTTTGACTGAGTTAAGTTAATGCAAAACTAAAGTTGAGAACTGACTTTTGGTTATCTTGGGCAACTAAAACAATGCGATACCGATACGGTTGAACTATCATGTGGCAGCTCTGGGAAGCAGCTTTGCACCACATGATAAATGAAGACCCAAATCTGAGCCAAGTACAGGGTCGCAAATGCGTTTCGTATGCTACGATTGCTGGGCATAAATTCTCGATGTCTTGATCCCTAAATGCTATGCACATAAAATGGCAAAACAACTTAACTGTTTGCCGTCAGCGTGGGGGTTATACAATACATTTTGGGGCTAAAAATGGGGGATTTACTGGAAGGAAGGGGGTAGCTGCAAAAGTTTCTTGACATTGCGACAAAAGCTGCACAAATTGCAGGCAGGCGCAGACAAGACACACATGCTGTCGCTTGACGACGCGGACAACTTGTAGATACTTTTGTATCTGTTTATCTGCTAGTCACTGCCATAAGTCGCCCAGTGATTTCCAAAGTTTTTTGCAGCTGCGAAACGCGAACTGCACGCAGCATAAAAATTAGAACTGATATTTGTTGACAACAAACATGGGGCAAAGTTTGTTTTCCAAACATTGGATAACGATTACTTTTCGGAGGTAACTGTAACTCCACGGAGTTGTTAAAAGGCAAACTTGTGGTCGCCGGACGACGTCATGCCGTGCGACTGGCGTCAAATGCTCGGGGTTGGTTTTTCCAAACAGTCGAAACATTTACCCCAACAATCAGGGGGGTTGCTTCTATGCTACTATGCTGCTAGCATAATTGCCACATAATGGCCCAAACTGTGGCGCCACTTTGTGTTGCTCCGGGAAAGTTCCGGCTGCACTTCGCTGACTCATCTTCCACCCAAGTTGCAACTTTCGTTTTTGGCCAGCGTCTGCTGTTTGCGGAACTATTAACCAGCCATCCATCCGCATCGACATTGTCTGGGCGACACAAATGCACTGGTTTTACAGATGCACAAAAAGGATGCACCCGCTTTCATTTGGTGCCATCTTACAAATCAAAAATCTCTTTTCATTTGAATCGACTCGTAAAAGCGCGAAATGTTAAGAAACTGTTTTTTTTTAAATATAAAGTACATTTTTGAAAAAGACCCATGTGACATAAAATATGTAGAGATTTTTGCGGATTCATTACACCAT